GGAGGCAGTATGACCTCTGAAACGTTGGTTAACATCGACCAGACTACACAGCGCAACAACCCAGAAGACGGAAATCTTCATACTCATCGCCCTGATGATGGAGGCAGTATGACCTCCGAAACGTTGGCAAACATTGACCAGACTACACGGCGTAACAACCCAGAAGACGGAAATCTTCGAAAACTGACTTGTTACAGCAGCCGATAACTTTCTGAATTTGTACTGAGAGAGTAGGCTTACTAGACAAAATAGTCGGCAAAGGGTTTTCGTGATTTCCCAGTGAAAGCTGGAATATTACCTTATCTTTACTCACTTATAGAATATACTCATTAGACGCTTTGTATTCTGTGCAGTTAAAACATCTTTAAAGATCTCAAGAATTAATCTCGGATTCCATAAAAACAAAGAATTTTTTTTGAAAAACTGAAGAATTGTCAACTGTTGAAGCTATTAAAGAAATTTTGCCTTTTACGGAACCAAAATATCCATTGCCGTTTTCACAAGAGTCTGTCACTGGACAGTAATTTTAATCAGTTCAATCCAGTCCACATCTTCATCGTATTCATTTGTAATCAATTTTAATATTATCGGTTCATTTATGCCGAATTCTCCAAAGTCGTCCGTTCTAACTAAACTTTGGTATGAACTTCTCACCTGTCTTATACGTGCTACATAATACGCCCATATCATCGTTAATTTGATTATATATATATATATATATATACCAAGTCACATACGTTTTGTTAACTCTTAGTTCGTCAGGGTGTCAGGAAACACATTAAATTCCCTGATTTTTTATTTTTCAATCAAAATCTTTCATTCGTTACGTCTGAAAGTCGCCAAATATTTAACCCAACACGTCATAACAAACTGTGACTGACAAAGAGTTTGAACATATAATCTTCTTCGTCAGTGTGGATGATAAACCGAACCTATTTTCAGTAAACGGAATCCTGATCTAGCACTTCAGTGAGATTTCCGGAAATCCGATAGACAATCTCGAATTTTAGGGAGACTGATTGATATCTGGAGCTTTATTTCAGGAAATGTGGAGATATATCACATGGGAAAATGGGGGAGTGTATGTGATGACGAATGGGACATGCGAGAGGCTACCGTCATCTGTCGTCAACTCGGCTACGAACGTCCGTACAGAGTTACACACAGCTCAATGTTCGGTCCAGCCAGAAGTAAGTTGTCTCATTCTGCATATTGTTACTTCATTCGGGCCTTTTTACTATGTACGAGTAATTTTATCTACCGAGATTATATACAGAATAGCCTACAACAGGATGCTTATAGACGATTAACAGAGCACTGACAGATATTTAAACCAATTATTCTTCGAATGCACATCAGTAACACCGTCACTTGAAATGTGCTTTAAACATTCCTCTACTTACATATTTTATTTATTTATTATCTAGTTAGTTAGTTATAAATGTTCCTTAAAATCACCTCTTAACTTCATACCTTATAAGCCTAGATCACATAACGATATATAAAATATTATAAATGGTGAGTAATGGAGACGGTTGTGGTGTTTCAATGTTCCATTCCGTATTTCGCCTGAAAGTACTGATAAAGGTAGTACATTTGCGTCATATTGTGAATTAGGTTAATATTTTAATATTTTCCGTCAAATCACAATTTTAATAAGATAATAAAATATAAAATATTTAAAATATCATTTCACGTTCCGTATCGAATGATCGATTTACAAATTGGAACGTCTCTTACGACATGTTTCGGTTATATTTAACCGTCCTCAGGTATAAATTAGATTGGTAAATTTTAAAACTCGAATTACAATCATTTACAATGTTATGCAGTTTATTGAAATGTTCTTATCAGATTACTCTTATATATTAGAACGAAGGTATTATTTTTTTTATATGGTGTGGTTCATCTGATGTTCAATGTTATTCTGTAAAGCAATGATTTAAAGAAAAACATTAATAAATATGGAATAATATAGAAAACAAAATGATGGAAGTAAATAAATGGTACTGATAAATACAAAATAGTCTCAGGCCTGGTAAAGAATGGGTGCCTCTCGAATAGAAATCTAGAGAATTACTGCAACTTACTTTGTTAAATGTATTTCTAAGTAAATATTATAAGCAACTGGATTTTGCTAATTGGCTTCAAATACCCAATCCCGTATAGTGCCAAGATCGATTCCGTCAAGGGTACAACACATAAAATGCCAGGATCGAGCAGATAAATATTAAACACCCGACATGACAATCATTTTGTATATGAACAGTTAACTGTGCTTTGCTGTCTAAGCCAGCGGCGCGCCGCGGCGTTGGGAAACGGATCCACGCATCTCTGAGCGCGGTGGGCATTTTCAACATTTTATACAAGAAGATAGTGTAATTGCGTCATATTGTGAATATTATAACAATTATTTATTTTAATCCGTCTGATCACAATATTTAAAATTTCTTATAATTAAGATAATAAAATATCATTCATGTTCCGTATCTGTAAGTAAATGATTGAAAGAAACACTAAAGAATTTGAAAGAATTTATAAAAGAATTTAGAGAATATTAAATGCAAAATATATAAATTATAGTTAGAAAGTATCAATAAAATAAAAATAAAAATAAAAATAAAACATACCAAAGATGTAGGAGAGTTTTAAGTTCTTAGATATATTTTACACCTGATGATGGTTTTATAAAAACCGAAACATGTTGTGTAAATGTTCCGAAATGTAAATCGATCAATCGATATGGAACATGAATGATATTTTATTATCTTAATTATAAGAAATTTTAAATATTGTGATCAGACGGATTAAAATAAATAATTGAAATAAATAATTTTATACAACACTGTTTCTTGTTTTCTGATTTCAATGTAATTTATTTTTTGACAAATAGAATACGTGTCAGGGTTGGGTTGCGTGACTCATCATTCATTCTGTTATATCTAATATCGTTGTTTCGATATCGCAGGTCGTTACTGGATGGATAATTTATACTGCACCGGAGATGAGAAAAACTTATCCACCTGTCGCTTTGATGGTTGGGGTGCCAATGACTGCACCAGCAGCGAAGCAGCTGGCGTGGTCTGCTCGTCGCCGGAAATAACAACCACGGAAGAACCAAGAACCACGCCGAAACCACCCAAGAAAGAGCCTCTTCTCCGAATTAAGGTATTTACAAGTTTATTTTGAACTAACTAGGCCTATATAAAATTTTGTCTCTTAATTTTTAAGAAATATGCATACAAATAAAACACGAATAGGGGTGATGAGAAAAGAATACGATGAGAATATCTAGACATATAAAAATTGATAAAACTGCGTAATTAATTTTGTTAGAGTCTCTGCTACTCCGTGAAAGATTACAATATACATATATATAAGTTCAATAGTTGATTGTACTGCCTGAGAATTGTAACGCATTCTTTATGAGCTCTGCACAAGACTCCAGAAGCAAGATGTTGAAGGATCTGGCTTCACGAATATGATTCATGTCTAATGGCTGTGGTGTGAAAAATTTAACATTTATATTACGTTCTTTATCAGCACACCTGTCAACCTCAACTATTTTTGTTGGAAACCATGATACATCCATGTCCATGAGGCAGTAGTTGATACTACAAGGACCCTTGATATTAATATAAAATAATTTAATATGTCTAGCGGTTAGAACGCTGGCCTTGTAATCCTGGGGTCTCGGGTTCGAATTTATAACTTGTTTTGGGCAAGGCCGTGGTCTAGGCAACGCGGAGTTTTCCTCCGTGGCATCCCAACACTTACTCCATTCACACACAGAAGAAGGCAATGGCAACCCACTTCTGGATCATCTGCCAAGAACGTATATGAACAGGTCCCAGTCCGAGAAAAGGATGGAAGGATCCTGTTCATATGGACCTGTCCTCAGACAGAACACTAAATAATAATAATAAAGAGTCATTATACCAACCGGGAAACAATAGATCTGACATGTAGAAATGATGGTAAAAGAACAAATATACATACAACTTTGTAGTTAAGAAATGTTTTAACAACGAACTGGGACACCCATGCTAAATGGGTGAATATTTAAATAGATATTTTAAAAAAAAACTCATGAAGATAACAACTGGATTAAACAGGCTCAGTACAAGATCTTTCAAGCTTTATTGAATGTAATAATAAATCTTCTAAACATAGATTGCAGTAGCCTAAGTTAGTTCCTAATATGTGGTTTCCATCTGGTATTCAGTATTTACTCACAAGCTCCAAAGTACTCAGGAAAAATCTGAAGTGTCTATGCGAAATCACAGAACATGAAGACGTACGGGGGAGTAGAGATGAAGGTACTTAAATTCTTAAACCTCGACACATCATCAAGATTCTGATGGACGTCATTGTCGTGGACATCAGAACCCTGATGATAGGGGCGGAGACGATAACCTGACTCATTTAATTGATTGAAACGACACATTACACGATTAAGAACAGTCACGAAACTGTTCAAAATTACTAAAT